TCCCTTCCCTTCTGTTGAGAGGTGCTCTGCAGAGCCACACCACCTCATTCAGTTGGCTAAAGACCATTTTGAAATGGATATAGACCCTGAGAATATGATCATTAGCTCCAAGAACATGATCACTAAAAACAATCTTAACGTCAGCCTATCAGATCTGTTTATCAGGCTAACACACAAAATGCAAACAATGAGGTGCTGCTTTTCATTAGTAAATTCCTGAGGAAAGATGGGAACGTAAAAAATGCTGCAGACACAGATTTTCTTTCCTGTAGCCTGTATCTTCAGTGATGGCTGAACAGTCAAAATTATGGAATAAATTTACATCCAAGCCACTATGTGCAAAAACACTAGCACTGTCCCATAAAATCTCTAGGCCACAAATCATAGAATCTAAGAGAGCGTTCCAGAAGACTAAAGTCCATATGCTTTTCCCCCAAGAATCACATATTTGTCTGTGTTGGAGGCAAGAAAATAGGTTACAAGGAATTAAGTATGATATGTTATGATAGTTCTTCGGCTTTTATGTAAAACAGTGGAATTAAACTAAGGTTATTTGTGTAAAAAGAGGCATTTACTTTGTGTTGATAATTTCTGAGGATATAGCTGAAGTATTGGGGCAACTTGGCCACAATACTTTAAGACAGACATTAAGAAATGTCAGATAGGCTAAAAAGAGAAGCAGAAATAATAGTTTAGAAGTTTAGAAAACACGACCTACAGAATCAGGTTTATTTAGTTTAGAAGAAGTTGAAGGAGGAGAACATAACAGTTTTTACAAAGAGAATCATATATCAATTATTTTCACGTAGACTAGGTATGTAACAATTGGTTTATGGAACCTTAATCTGCTGCCTACAATTTTTTTTTTTTTAAAGTTAGACTAGTATCTCTAAGGGACAGTCCAGGTTTCGATTCCTTCAAAAATATGTTCAACATTTTCTTCTTTATCGCTAGGTTGCAGACCTCATTGCTAACTGTATTAAAAAAACCCAATTTATTATGTTAACTCCACCTCCTAGTTTCATCAAATGACTCACAGTTATAGTACTGCAGGATTTGCTGAATAGTACCACAGCATTCCTGTGATCCACTGCCTTCATAATAATTTAGAAAACTGCTAGTATAGTACCCTTCAGTCTTTCCATCTCCATCTTAAATGACCACAAATTTTCCAACATCCTCCTTATAAAGCAGCTGTTCTGTCCTCTGACCTTTTAGAAGCCCACTGTGCCTTTCTTGAAACAGAGACCAAAACTGCACAGTCTTCAAGATGTGGGTGCACCAAGGTTTTCTATGGCAAAAAAGCCCATCCCTTCTCTTGTTCTCAATAACTTTCCTTATGGTGCCCATATTTTGTTGGCTTTTTGGCTGCTGCTACGCATTGAACCAACATAAAACTGGCAATAATGATTCCAGGATCTCTTTGTAAATTGAAAATACTTTGCATGCATTACTTTCAATTTATGCTCATTCCATGTAGTGAGATCCTCTAGAGTTCCATACCCTGAGCTCAGCATGGACTATCCAAAAAGGTAGATGTGAGATTCACTTGACATAAGGCATTATTTTAATAAGGGTAATTGAGCTTCTAAGGAAGATTCTAGTATAGTTCTGGTTTTATACAAAAATTGGGAATGAAAAGAGAAGAAAAAAAAACTGAAAGGAAAGGCTGATATGAGAGAAGTCTGGCAGGAAAAATCTGCATTAAACCACATAAGACTATGGAACTTTGAGCAAGTACAGAAACCCAGCATGCAAGATAATTATCCGAGAGTCAGTGCAGTACTGATTGCAGAGTCCTGCTGATGATAGTTTTGGGGACGGGGGGTGGGAGGGGTGGAATCAATAACAAGTGAAACTGCAGGATGCCTAAGCTTACTGTTTTATGTTTGACAACATGAGTATAATCTACATCACATGGAAGACTCATGAGACCAGAAATTAATTTTGAGGCCAATAGAATCCTAACCACTTATCTTTTAATCTGGTAACACTCACTGTTTCTTCCTCTATGGTCACATTGCTGGAGATTGACCTAGATCTGGCTAGATTCTTGGTGAAAAGGGTATTCCAAGATCATTTCTATTAAATAAATACACATAGGCAGGGTTGTAAATAAATTTAAAATCTTCTTCTCAAGTGAATTACATCTTTCTGTCAAGAATATTTAAAAAGCTTAAAAAAATAATATATTGGCAGGAAACCAACTGGACATGAAAACATATGGAAAGCGTCTCAATTGAAAAAGCACTAGAGGGTTCCTTGGGCTGCTTATAAGCAATTTATCTTCAGGTTTATCATTCACCTTATGTGTATTTTAAAGAAATCCTAATTATTCTGTGCTCACTTTATTATTTGCATTCCTATTTTGGAGCTGATGGAACACTAAGAGGGGCTCTCATGCTATGAGCTGCAGAAGTCTCTCTTTCCTCTGCAGCTATTCTACAGTTTCTTACCTTACTGCTCTCATGAAATACCTACAGTTGGGAGAAAAATCTGCTCTAAAAGAAATATATTCTGCTTTCTCCACTCAAACTGACCTAGAAAACATTTTTCTTACCAGAGTAAGCTCTCAGAAATCACGCTACTAAATCTGACTTTGCTGCCCATTTCACATGGGGTTTTTTTGACATATTCAGAATCTTTCCTTTGGTCCTTCTGTGATAAGAAGGAAAGAAAAGGACACTTCTACTTGTTATCAGATTTACACTCTGTCTGAGATTGCATAGAAAATGAAGACAATGCTTCCATTTGAACGAAACATCCAGTATTTTGTAAAGAATAAGATTCTATCATGCAGAAGGGTATATGCAACTAGATGTGATATCACTCTACCAAACTTGACGTTATTAAGCTACGAATTATGGACTAAACCAGTAAGATTGCCACTGAAATTGTTTCCAAGAATATTTTCATAAGAACAGGCCTGATGTCAGAATACATGGTCCCAGTGCTTTTAATCTGTCCAGTCAGAACAGGAGTTCTTTTGAAGCAAGAGCAGGTAAGAAATCTTCAGAATACTTCAAGGAGGGTCTATATAGTCTAAACAGACCTCCGAATTAAGGATTTTTCTAAAATTAAAAAAATTAATATCAAAATTAATGGACATAAAGGATCTTCCTTTGTCTTCAGGGTGGCTGTGAGTTTGTGAGAAGGTATCTCTGGACACCTTTTTCCATCTGAACAGGGTCTTTTGCAGGAATTGCTCCCTGAGCTAGATGCCATTATCTCCTCCTTGTCTTCAGGATGACACTTAGAACCTCCTGGTTGTGTTTTGAGGGATTGTGGGTAGGCATGAACTGAGACACCAGCACATCTAGACACTTGATCCTGTGCCCTCACAGCACAAGAGTCAGCTGTAAATCAACAGCTAAATATAAAGCATCCTCTAAGCAGTGTATAAAAATCTGCCTCGTATACAAAACTCATAATTTTGGCCTACTATTTGCAAAACAGCCCCATTATTTGAAGAAAAACAGAAGTCTGGAACCAAAGCATTACAGCAGATGCAGACTGACAAGAGCAATGCTTCATCCATGATTTGATCCAAACAGAATGCAGAAGGAATTCAAATTACTTATTGCTGCACAAACACAATAGAGCCAGAACTGACTGAAAATTAGTTTATACTAGGACAAATCATAACACATTATTGCTACACAGACATGCATTCTGGTACACAGCTGGGTAAGAGCCATCACATTGGTCCAACTAATTTTTAAAAAAAGAAGTGCTGAGCATAACAAGTGTGGGAGACACCTACTAGTTACAAGTAGTTATGTTTCATGCTAAAAACACTGTTAACAGAGTTTTGCAGTAATCTTTGTTGCAGACAAGTTTTCCTACCACGTACCATAAAAAAGGGGTACTAGTGTTGCAGTCATTCAGAAAACACTTAAGCCTGAACCATGGTTGTTTTTAATCTTGAAATGACCACATGACTTAAGACAACAGCAGATAAAACTAAACAGATTCTACATAAGCTGATGTCTGTTAGTGGGAAGCATGTCCCAGAAAAGTCCCAGCAGCAGAAAACGAGTTAAAATGGGGTAGCGAATTCCACTGACGGACCATGCGGGTTTCCCATCTGCTCAAGGGCTATTAGTCCATACAACTTCAGCATTTTGAGAGCAGACAATATGGACACCTACTGTAAGTGCTTTCTGTTAGCCTACAGCAGACTTGAATACTGCAAGACCGAGAAACAGTAGGCCCTTGAAGGTAGGATGGGACATTCTTCAAAGCTGAAATACCTAGATCTATTGGTGGTCATCCTTGTTTTATAACAGTCTAGTCCTATCAGTGAAGACTTCTCTCTACCCCAGACAGATCAATTTAAGCAGGCCCATGCTCTAATGAAAAGCCATCAACCTGTCTCCAAGAAACCTCATCCATACCCACCGCTTCTGGAACAAATGAGCTGTCTGTGAAACAGTCTGCTTTCAGCAACAGACAGCTTACTTGATCCTATTCTGGAGGTAGAAGCAAGCCCAAGGACAGGCTTCATTCGACACCAAGATTCCTCATCAGCAAATGCAGCAATGACACCAGTAGTATGGTGCTTAGCGCCTGTTTCAGCAAAGGTTTCAAGGTATATGCACTACGACCCCTTTTACTGAGCCTTTTTTGCACAGCATCAAATACACAGACAAGCAGCAAGTAGCACATACTCTTCTAGAGAGGTGTGCGGGTGAGTAGCTGGCTACAGAATAAAACAGCACATTCTAAGTACCGTGCAGGGTGGACAAGACTAGCACAATACAGAGAGAGCTTAACGGATGCTATGGAGCACAAGACATGATATGTCACTCCCTCTGGGAGTTCAGACAACTGTTACAAACGCACCGGTAAATTCAAGGCAAGATGGCTGCAGAGATAAACCTGGCAAAGAGCTAGGATTCACAGGAAGAACTAGGACTCACTGAGCAAACAGAGAAGCCAAAAAGAAAGTGGGAGAGTCCAGGGAACAAATTAATTGCATGAGGAATAGGGGGAAAATAATCACAGGATGTTAGAGAGAGGCATTACCTGGGACTTGGGTGAAGAAGTCAGCACAAAGACACTGGAGATTGTTGGGTCAAGGAAATAAACTAGACATGAAGTAGGGCAGGAAGGAAACAAGACTTCAATATTTAACTCAGAGCTGGGAATCAGGATGACATAGTTGAGAAATGATAACTAAGAATAGATGTAATATATGAAGAACAAAAAAACTGAGCTAAACTGAGGAAAGAGGCAAGATTAAGGATGCTGAATCACAGGAGGGGACATCACATATAGAAATAACCAACAAGCTTATAGCTTCTGCCTGTTTGCCTCTCCATTTCCTACACTAAGAGCTTAATTCATGAAGTAGCTTCTGAACAACTGCAGCTTACAGCTATTGTTTTAAAGTAAACTGGCTCTGGTTTTCTCAGAAATGTCTATACTGATGAGCACATGCTGATATTACTGGCCTCTGTTCGTGCTCTAAGTCCACTTGACATCTGTGGATTTGTATCCTAGAAGCCCTATAATGTCACAACACTGTCTCTGAACAAGCAAGGCCTCTGAAAAGTAAAAGGTTTCCAAAAAAAAAAAAAAGTAGGTTGCTGCACATCTATTTTTATCATTCAAACAACCTCTGAAGGCTAATGTGTCTAGAGTAGATCACCATGGCCCAAAATACAAATACCAAAATTTTATAACATTCAGTAAATAAGTTTCAACAGACAGTAAGACATTTCTCTAGTGCTCAGAATAACTTCTCAAGAAGTTCATCACTCATTCTCTCTCATTGAGAATAAAAATTCACATTTTTTTCATGCACGTGCTTGAAAGTTCACATTCGACTCCGTACTGTTCCTCAGCCTATGATATGGTGTTTTTACCAGTTGTGAAATTCAGCAAAATTGTTAATAACAATTAACTAAATACAGGCTACAAGTTCACAGGAGTTAGAGGACAAGGCATTAGACATTTTGGAAAGGAAAGTTGGAAACAAGTTTACAAGGAGGTGGAAAGAAAAAAGATCAGATTATACATTAATATTGCTACCGAACTTTACAGTTTTGAAGCACAATTTTACAGTTCTTCCTGGAGAATACAATCCCATCTTGGTAGAATGCAGCGAACCCTTCCCTTTTGCCCTTTCTTGAAAAATCTTTAAAATTAGATTTTCAACAAGTAGTATTAACATTTTCTTTCATCAGAAAACCACTCTGTCATTTTCTGCAATATTTTGTAACTAAAAGCAATTCTTTCATCATTTCCTTCCCCTTTTAACCCAACCACAAACAATTTAAAACAAACTACTTACTGATGCATTTCTCAGAGTGCCTGCATCTGTATTTACTGTTCCCATAGAAAAATGTTTTTCAAAATACTTCTGTATTAAACACTCAAAAGAGGGAACTGTGTCGCTGGGGTTTATCAGCCACGCTGCAATCCTTGGATCTAACACGACACTATCAGCAACTACAAAAATAAGTTATTTCTGGCAATCAAAATATTTAAATTACCTCCCATACTGAGAAATACTTTTAGAATTTTGCCTATCTTTCCTGTAGACACACATCATAAATAGACAAGCATTTACACTATGAAAACATTAAACATTGAATTTGCAGTTTTAACAAGTGGTCAATATCACGACTACATAGGAGTAAGTTCAAACATTGAACTTTAGGAAGGTTTTTTGTGAGGGTTTTTTGGGGGTTCCCCCCCCCAAGTTTTAAAATGTAAGTAAACCTTTGGTTCTTAACATTGACTATAAAGGCCTCTCTCTCATTACTGAAAAATTTCAAGTTGAAGTTTTTCTTGTAACTGTCTCCCTCTAGTACAGATTTGCTGTTACTGTTAACTTGATGGATATCCACAAAATTGCCACTGGGGATCAGCGAAGAGAAGATTTACTTCCTAACAATCAGACTTCTGAGATCTTCAATGCACATATTAATTCATGTATGGGTGCACAATGCATTGTTCCCAAAAATCAGAATCTTTTGTCCTATAGAATCATATGTGCTTACACTGCACTTTCTCATGTTCACACAGATATATAGAATGGAGTAAGCCTAGTGCTGTTTCATTTCCCTTTTAACTACAGTTTCAACATATGTACTGTAGTATTTACTACAAAGAGGAGGAGAGAGAAAATAGTAACTAGAATGCAAATTGTGATATATTCAAAGACAGATCTAGGTATCTTCTTCAGTAACCCCTAAGTAAGTTCAAATGACAACCCACAGGTACATTCACAGAGAACTCCATGCTGCACACCCTTACAGACTGTTACCTGGAAGCAAACTTTAATGCCCATAAACCAAGTCACAGCTGCAGGACTATTCTAAAGAGAACCAGGCTTGTTTACCTCCACTGGTATAATTGTTGCTGAAAACATCAGCAGATGTCAGGGGAAGTGACATCTTGTCTCTGAATCAGCTTGAGCTCTGCTGGAGTGGCCAGATAACTGAAGGTTACTTCATCTGCCAGATAACTGAAGGTTACTTCATCTGCATGTTGTCATATGAGGATTTTATGTGGCTCATCACCCTTTTCTCTGATACAAACAGCTATTCACCTCAAAAGCTAACAGATGCTAAGGCACAGCCTTGGAAATTGTCTCAAGGATACCCTCCTGACAGTACTACTAGGAGTCTTTCTGCAATTGGAAGAACAGTCTTAGCCTTGGAATTGTGTAGTTTAAGAAAGTATGTCAAACTCTGCATCCACTGCAAAACCGAACTTTGGATGCGACCATGGGATTTCCACTGCTCTTTCATCAGGAAGTAATCCCTACAGGAATTAAATGAAACTTTGACAGCTGTAACAGACAGATTTGCCATGACTCAAATAATGTATTGTGAAGAGGCAGACTATGCAACTCAGCCTCACCGATGGGCAGTGACACTCAGCAGCTGATGGCTGTTGGAAAATGCCCAGAGGCTTCAGGAAGTCTCTGCCTAGGGAGACGCTGGACATTCAGAAGCCCACGTGAAGACTGCATGAAATGAGCACTGATTTTTCTAATAACTACATCTTACCAAGGACACACGGAAGAAGAGAATCGTACTACCAAGTAGTCTGAGATATCTCAAAGATCCTTTTCTCATATCCCTATTTACAATGAGCACGAGAGTCTCCAGCTGAAAAAGGATCAAGAATCAAACCCCTCAAATATCCATCCATCCATCCCTTCCTTCCCAACTAAAATCATCACCAAAGGTGAGGGTGGCAGCAATGATTTATAGCCACCAATTTGGTCCTGGAAAAAGGATGACACCTCTTCAAGGTGAAGAGGCAGCACATATGGAACTGAGACGGAACAAAGCTTCAAGGAGTGAAGCAAAACCAGGGTCAAGCAGGGATGAAGAGAAGAGTCTGTGCTGATAAAAGCACACCTTCCTCAAGACTGTGAAATGGTACTCAAGTCCTGTCCTCCGGCTCCGAAACATTAGTGAATCCCATTGGAAAAGCATGCTGTATTTTACTAGTCATGGCTAATGTATCTGTACGTATTCCACTGGTTAGTATACTAGTTTAAGAATGAGTGCAATCAAGCAAGCGATTTCAGTAAGACACAGAAAATTTGTTTGCTTGATTTACAATGATGGGATTTTTTTACCGTAAAAAGGCAGGGGATTTGTGTCTTTTTTTTTTTTTTGTTGGAGGTTTGTTTTTTTTTTTACTATAGCAGAAATAATGGGTGAGGAAGCACCAACATCCAAAGTTTAAAAAAAATCCTAGACAAGAATTCTTTAGGATTCTAGAAACTTTAGATTCAAATCCTAGATAGGATCTAACCTAGATCTAGTATTTCCTGTGTGTACAGGTTATAAAACTGTCACTATTGCCAGTACCATCACGACATTTCTTCCCCCGCCCCTTCCCACTCCAGGGCTAAGTGTCTTCTGTGTAGATTTTACACCAGATTCTAAATCATCATCAGTTTCCTGTGATTTACTGATGAAACTTTTCAGATGCTGAACACAAGCTGAAGACTCTCCATAGAGGGAGTCCTTCCTGAAAGGTCACATTTACTTTTGTAATTCACTCAGCAGTAATCTGATACATAGGAACAAAAAATAAACACCACATTCTATTTACATCTTCTATCTTCTGTTTATAGTTGCTTTTAAATCCATACAAAAGTCTTACTTGTTCCTATCAAAAAAAACAAGGACCCATTCAAGTGATGAACATGACCCAGTTCTGACAACTATGAGCACCTCTGGAACTTAGCCCTTGCTCTCGAGCAGAGAAAGTCTTTCTAGCGAACACGAAACATGAAGCAGTTTGACCTTTTCAGCTACAGTCAGAACCGTGTTGAGAGTTTTTGTTTCCACATGAAGCTATCCTTAAAGTATTCAATGATTTGACTCCTACTCTGAGAAGAAATACATCACCCTGACTTGCCAAGGCTCTGGTCACAACCTCCCCAAGAAAGGTGTTCTATTCCATGGTTCTAAAACTCTGCTCTCCAATACATTACTTAACCACCAGTGTAGCTACTTTTACACTTAGAGATTTTACCAGAAACATCAAAAGCACAGAGATTATAGGAGTAGATCATAGATTAGATACTTACCTTCTTTCCAGCTAATTTCATCACCATAAACTTGAAGCAGAGTCCTCAGGAAATCTTTTGCATTGAAGCAAATAATTGGAACTTTGCAATGTAGCATTTGAAACAACACTTGCCTGCACAGAAGTAGTTTATTAACACACACTATATTGCTACTAGATTTAATGAATCTACTTTATACATTTAATTAGCATCTAGTACTAAACAGTTAACACAAGACATTTCTTTATTCCTGTAAGAACAGAATACTGTATTTGAATATTAAATTCTCAATTCAGTAATACCTGAAGCTTCATTCTATAATAAATTAAAGATCCTAGCAGATATGCCTTATCATGTATCCATAAAGAAAACAATCCTTATTTGACACTCAAACAATGCAATCTTAATCTGAAACAGTAACTGGCATCCCTGTAATACTTAAATACACCCAAGTAAGATCACAGAGGCTTCTGAGTTAACGCAGTATTGTAAAATCATGACTTAAAGGTTACTAGACAATCTAAATTGCCGTAATTGCCTAGTGTTAATATGCTATTTAAATCTATATAACTTCAACTTGTTTATTATTGAATTTTTTACTGTTCATATGTACAGGCTTTACTGAGATGTTATTCTCAAGTCAGAACAACCTATATCCAAACTAACAAGTCACTAAACTAGTTGTCATGTAACTCCATTATTTCAGCTGGCGAAGTACAGTAAGTGAAGTGATTTGTTTCAAGTCACAGTGGAGCAGAGGCAAAGATGAAACTAACAAGCAAGTCCAATGCTTTGTAATTTAATAACCCAAATTCAGCAGTTTACAATAAAGCAGCTATTACTGAAATTCATAAAATATTCCAATGAAGATTTAACATGCAACTATTATATCTTAGAATCAGATTCAGTTCTCATTTCTCCCTTTACATGATACTATTTCAAAGTTAATAGTAAGGGATAAAAACGGATTTTGGTTATGCTAATTGGACATTTAAAATATAATCCAACTTCCTTTAAAGTTTAGTCCAACTATTTAACAGATACAAAAGCATTTACTTAAAAAATTATTTTGTAATTTTAATTTAACATTATTACTGAATATTAGGAAAACTTCATTTGGGATCTCAAAAGCCATTAAAAAATCCTATTGTGCTCAAAAATTTAAAATTATTAGCAGAGTTCAAAAAGGATGTTTACCATAATAACATCCATCAAAAATGTAATAGATAAGAAATGTGGTTCAGGAAATGGAAGATACAAGAAAGCTAGGCCTGGATTAATGGTATTTTTTGGTGCCATAGAGCTGTAAGCTGTTCATAAAGGATTCCTAGGTGAACATAAACAGCTCCTGCCAACCTAGTTCTGCCAGCCTGCAGTTAGTGATATGCCAAGCCCAAAGGAATAGCCTGTTCTTATTGGGTTTCTATTAGGCCAGGCTTGACACAGGACTAATACAGCTAATGTGAAATTCAATAAGCTTGGTGTGTAAGGAGATTAAGCTTGTGCCATGTAACCAACATCACTGTTGCTAATAGCATATGTAAAGCAAAAGAGTATTTTTTTCCTATATACTCTCACCAAGCAAATTTCTTGTGAGCCTGTTGTTCTTCTTCCCAAAGAGATGAGCATTCAGTTCTTAAATAAATTAATTTATCATTTTCATTAGCAGCATTCCAAGTGTAGTCAGTTGAGGAGTAACTGGGAGGGCAATGGTGATCAGTCTGATTCTTCACTAACACAACAACTCCTTTCACTGATGAGGTTAAGGCCTGTTAAGTATAATTACAATAGCGTCTCCTCTTGACAGATTTTATGCAATCCTACGAAGAAAATTTCCCAAATATTTTACAATATGAAACTTATTACACACTCTAGAGTTATTGGATACACCATTGACAAAGAGGAGTGTGCAAGTGTTTCAGCCCGTAAACAAAAAATTCACACCGACAGATATAGTAAAAAGCAGGAAAAAAATATTTTAAACCAAATAGTCTCACTGCAAGTATCAAATGCCTGTTTAGCCCAAGCAGGTTTTTTTTTTTGTTTTCTGTTTGGGTTTTTTTTGTTAGTTTTTGTTTTGTTTTACTTGGCAACTAAATATAAAATGTAGTCAGAAGTATTAAGGTTTACCTCATTTTACATTCATATTTTGGTAAGCAATAATACACAAAACTGGTCCAGATTCTAGGCTACAAATGAACATGGTTTTGTGTTTATTAGTCACATGCACAGTTCAAATTGTTCTACAAGCTGACTCTAAACAAAGCAGTTCACTAACCTGCTCTGAGTTGAGCTGTGAAGAACCGTCTTGAAATAACATAGTAGTTACAAAAGCCACTGCCTGCTCTATAGTTGCAAGCAATTCTCTTTTTCCTTCACATCCCAAACTCCTGATATCACAAGGATAATTCTCAGAAGACTCTGTTTGTCCAGAACAGTCGTATCTTCTTTCATGTGAAGAAGTGTAGCTCTTTACAGGTAATCTTCTTGTTTTCTCTGAACAACATGTAGGCACATCTTGCTTTCTTTTAAGGGGAGTAGATATATTCTTTTCACCACTCTTCAGGTTTTTTGCTTCTACTGGAAGATTTCTTTCTCTGCATCCCCATGTTAGCAAGTCTAAATCTTGGTAATAGCTCACTATTTCAGTATCTTGACAGCAAAGCATTTCATCGGTGTGTACTGTCCTGACTATCTGACCAACAGTACTGTTTTCAGGGCTGGCAGATGTTTTTAATAAGGCAACTGTGGAATCACTAATCTCCTGGAAAAATTGGAAATTTTTGTGAACCAATTATTCAACTTATTAGAAGACATAAACATACATGAGTTAATTTAGATAAGTTTTAAAAGGAAGTGTTATTCTATGAAAAAAATGTTGATACTAGCAAGAGTCAGTTTAGGGGAACCACATTACGTAAAACAAAATTCAAGTATTTATCAGTAAAGATTTTGCTGATTTATATTGCTTACACCCAAAACCACTACTGTATTTTTTAAATCTTAGTCCATCACTAAAAATGACAAACTAACAACTCTATGATGCACTAGTCCAGTAGCCTGTCTTCCATATGACTAGGTTATTAGTGACCTTTTTTTAATGACAGCTTAGTTTATTAAAGAACTTTTAGCAAGGGACCATAACGACTGCTTTGGAAATTCAAGTACTCTGAGTCAACTGGATCTCTACCAATTTCTTCAAACAACTTACAAAATTGTAAGACATAAAAATATATATGAAAGTCACACTGAAGAAGTATTATCAGTTGTGTGAACAAGTATATTCTGTTTAATCCACTATGCTCAGAACAGCTTTCCTACTCCAGATAGTGCCTGGACCCCTTTACAGCAGCATGCTATCAAACAGCATTAAGCAAGAAATTGCATGGTAATATTATGATTTCTATTCTTTCATCCTTGATTTCCTTCAGGAATTTCCTTGGTATGCTACTGGCCCAAGTATTTTCTTACTCTTTATTTTGCTAGTCTTTTCTACAGCCTCTTCAGCTGAGATAGATCCTCTGTCTTGATTTCATAAACAAGGACTCAGGAATGGCAACCAGCAAACTTCCTAAGATTCCCCGAGGTAAATGTGTGTTTAACTATTTACAGATATACAGAGCTGCCTCTTCCCTCAATACTCCTTTTACACCTTGACCAACAGGTCTTTACAGGTGCTGGCAAGTTTCCGACTCCTTCGGCATTTGAAAAAGTGATGTATTAGTAATGCACTGGCAAGCCGTTTCTCATGATTTAGACTATACTATTGTATATTTACATTTAACTTACTCAAATGAGGCAACTATAAAAGATCAGAAATTCTGGTAAGTTCAGCTTTTTGCACAATGACTTTTTTAGTAGCCTCCTTCACACTGCCATTTAGCCATACTTTTCCCTGGACAGATTTTAGTATTTGTTTTAAGTCTCCAATATTTTGGTTTGAATAAATCCCTATACTACCTAAAAATACTTTGGTTTTGGAGGGGAAATTCCACGTATTTTCTTTTAAAAGCTCCTTCATTTTAATGTAATTTCTTTTTCTGAAATGAAGCATTCCTGTGGTGACTTATCTATCTTTTAATGCCTCAAAGATTATAGTCCCTGTCAGATCATCTTTCAGCACAAAGATTTTGAACCTGATTTCACACGGAATGAAATAAAAACAATTTCTCTTGAGAGTTCTCTAACCATTCCACAAAGCAGTTGTCTCCCAATTTTTAGTCTCAGCATGATGCATAAGCACAATATTCACCCACTCCACTGAAAAGTAACTGAAGCCTGTCATAATTACTATATTTTCTTGTTCTTGTAGCACAGCGAGTCTCCTTCAGTACCTCTGCTCTCACTACCATCTGAAAACTAAGGCCTTCTCACTTCAAAATAACCACAAATTACTGCTGTGCAGGGCTTCCATCCATTCCCCAAGACAACAATTTTCACTGATCAAAGCATATCATCCATCTCTATTTATTCTCTATCGATTGAGCAAGCCAGAATGACAAAGCCAATAATATTTTTTTTCTGGTTTTGCAATATTCCTCAACCCGGTTCCTGTATTCCCAAACCTCAGAACTATGGAGTCAAAAGATGAAAAAGGCTTAGATTGCTTGAGATCATACTTCACAGGATCCACTCCACAGCAACAGTACAATTAACAGGTTCTAAGCAAACAGAAAAAAGGAGCCGATTAAGGTTTTGCTACTACCAAAGTGAACAGGAGTTGTTCTGAATGCAAATTAATTTTGACTTAGGCAATGTTAATCAAAAGTGGACACTATAAAAAGTTACCATAAGTGGAAAAATATCATCACAGAAGGACCAAATGTTTAAGAGCCGTAGAAAAAAAAAAAATTCACTCAAGTGTATCCTCCAGTCAAACTGCAAATAGTTTCAGTGTTGAACACAGTACAATTTGAATTAGGACACTCAAGTAATTATAGAATCAGGAATAAGCAATTCTCTTTATAAGGTTCAAAACTAAGAACAAAGCAATTTAATTATCAAGTCAGAATAACACAGCTGGAACTACAATTAACCACAGAGAGAAGCAACAGCTTCCAGGAAGAACTGATCTTCCACTAGAAATAATGACATGGCTGGAAGTAGAGAAAATTATTCCCAGGATGTAGTTTCATAATTTATGTGGATGTAGAAAAATTTCACTAGATGCAGTGAGTCAAAATTAGCACCTCATCATCACAAAAAGGGGTTCCACTACTATCCATGTGCACTCACAGCTGCACATCTATCTATCAGCCAATCTGATTTGTAGGAAACTATTCCACCCCATAAAAGAAACTGCATCTTGAGCAACCTGAATGGACTTGCTGAAGTGTGCAACATGCACCAGAATCAGGGCAAGGAAGGCTGCGAAATTTGCAGCCGGGACAGGAGTACACTTGCAGTATCTGCAACTCATCGAACCTTACAATCACAGCCTGCATTGGGGCTGCCGCAGTGGTCCACTCCCATTCTTCCACTGGCACTCACTCATAGGCACATTAAACCAAATTCAGAGATGATTAAAGCAAAAAAACTTCCTAATACAAAGTAATTTTTCATATAAATCAGCTGCCTTTATGATTATGTGCTAGTGACTGTTCAGTGACAGAGGTTTCAGAACATTTTTAAACCCTGGGAAGCATCCAAACATGGCAACCTCACTTATTTCTGACCCATCTGTCACAAAAGACTAACTTCCCATAAAAAGGACAACAGAAGTGAGGCTAAGACTCTCATCAGTAAACAGATGCCAAATGCAAAGCAAGACAGAGGAAAGTTATCTGAACTAGGAATGTATGCAATGTATTGTGATAAAGCTTGTTATGAAAAGAGTCCGAGCCTGTAACCACTTTAAACCTGCTACAGAAAGACTGCTTTTAGTGGTCTTCAATCTTACAATATGCTTGCCTTTTCATTTCTCAGACATGCATCCTTATCACCTACTTTATTCTCCTTTGTCTTCTCTATACCTTAAAAAAAAAAGGGAAACATTTTTCAGTACAAAAGAATCTGAGAGCAGTGCATATAACAGGTTACAAACATTGCTATATTACCAAACCTAAAATAATAGCAATAAAATTTTCCATGACAACCATTTTCCTCAAATTAATCAGTCATGCTTAAAAGGGCCCTGCAGGTTCCTAAATATGCATATGCAAAAGCATGCTCTGATCCCACTAAGAAAAAACTAATTCAAGTTTGCTGCAAAGCAGACAAACGTTTTGGATGGTGTTCAGAAGAAGCATTACTATAATACCAAAAATATGCGTACTTCCTTCTTTCAAGAAAACACATCCCATCTTGGTCAAAATAAAGCTCGGGGCATGGGCAAGAAGAAAAAAAAAAGCACCAAAACCCCCAAACTCTACAATTCACACTGTTCTCTTGGAATTCAGTAGACTTATTCCACAATAATTTTCTTCAGCAAAACACTATTTGTATATACATCTTTAGTATATCATGCCCTACAGAGAACTGACCATGCTTCATCTGCAGAGGATAAATTTTTCACACTGTTCATCCTCACAACAGAACAGGTATTGTAAGACCAGACAACACAGTAGGTACAAGAACAACAACAGGGGGAGGAGAAAAAAAAACAAACCAAAACAAACCCAGGGAACTCCACTGAAGTGTGGGTCTCTCCAGAGTTTGCAATCAGTTAGGATTCCTTTACTTCTTTTATTGCCCAGCCAAAAGACGTCTCATGGGAAAAATAAATATTTTGTCCCTTTCTAACTCCTGGTCCATACCAAGCACAAGACTCCACTGCTGTTTTCAGCTATGAAATTTGCACTACCAGCAGGGAGTCACCTTCTGAACATACTGTGTTGATGACCACTGTCAAACAAAGTACAAAGTGATCTATTTCTATTTACTGAAATTGTTTCAAAAGAAATTTGTCTAGACAAATCAGGACCCTGTACTTTTAACACTAAAATAAGCATTTTCAGAGACTAACTAGCTTAGTCTCCAGAAGAGACAAAGCTTATTACTTTGTAGCATTACATGCAGGTTCATGTTGGCGTATGTGTATAATCAGTTATTTATCTCCAGATTAGACTTCTACCCTGAGCTATTAGAATAGTGAATACAGCATAGCTGTATTTGTAGCTTCAAATATTTTAGGTTTGGTTTTCTTGACACTTCGTACAACAATAAAATTATAATTTAAGAATAACAGTAACTGAGTTTGTTTCACAGCTAGATTTTGCTCTTTACAAATTCACCCTCCAGACGTGATGTTCTCTCCTTCAGCACACAGTATTCAGTATGACAGGTATCTAAAGAGCTGTGCAACCTCAAATTTCTGGTTTATGAAAGAGTATCACCAGATGGCAGTAGAAACCCATCCTTGCTGTCAAACCCCTCAAGGCTAGACAGAACCATTACAAACTCTAGTGCCAAGGTAACCACAGAATTTCACCCCCCTAGTTCAACATCGCAAATATTTGTCCTATTTGAACCCAGTATTTACCTTCTAAAGACAAACAGTCTTTCCAGTAGGTAGAATTTAATCTTTAAAAATCTATCAATAAAATACAGCTAAATACAGTTTGAAGCAGACCAACATGCCAAGTTTTGGTTTTGTTTTGGGTTTTTTGTTGGTTTTTTTTTTTTTCAGGGAGGCGAACATTTTCCTTATCTCCAGATGCATGCTGATCGGCTAAAGCTATATATGCAGGCAATTCCCTAAAAGCAATTCAAATAAATTTGTTCTTAAGCCTGCACACTAGAAACAATTGCGGGTAATTAGTACATGGAAAACAAGAGCAAGAAAAGCTAGCCATGTGACCTGCCGCCACTAAATGCTTACACTGTTCTTTCACTCCTCAGTGAATAAGGATTGAGCAGCACCACAAAGACAGCAAGCTCATTTGGTTAAAGATACCAGATACCTTCATGGTGTTTTTTATAGAAAGAAAATCTGTAATTTTACAGCTCAACAGTGAATGGATCAAGAGTGAACAACATAACGACATAGGTATCACACAGTACAGAGAGTTCTCCAGTTTAAGAAAAAAACCACTATGCAGGAAAATTAAGAAAGGGAAAATGACAAGGTAGCAAGAGAAGTAGAAAGGCAACTAAACAGAGGCAGAAGAGATCAGATTTTCTTTAAAATAATCTGGGCTTTCGTCCAAATGTACCATCTTCAAATGAACCCACCCCATATTTCTTCAAATGTGTATCACTGATTTACACAGCCATGAACTACTATACCATCAGGCTCCACTGATCCGACGCTTTAATACTGAAAGAAGAGCCTGAACCGTTATTTACATAAAACTGAGACTGCAACAAACACCATGCACACAAGAGCAAATGCTAGGTTTGAATCCCATTGACCAGATAATGTTCCAGGATCCAGTTCTCAGGAGAAAACACGCAGCTGAAATTGAGTGACACTCTATCTGCTTCCTTCCAGAGCTAAGAGACTGGTGGACTATGAAGTGCACAGAATGGAGAATAAAAAGTACATCTTGAAAAACCTCCCTAGCATCCACAATATTCTGAGTAAGATTTGGTCAACAGTCAAAGATCTGCTGAGGCACTTCTAATTTGCTCTACCACTGGGACTTTTGTTCACTCTTCCCCCTAGAATTCACAAGGAGCACGTTGCTAATGAACATGTGTTTAAAGGACAGACATGAGTCTGGAGAGTTCACAAGCCTGCTTGGCAAGTTCCCAGAATTTGTAGTGATCTTTAAATATCTAGTCCAGAGTCAATTTAGCATATACTTTTAATTTACAGTATTAGTTAATTAACAGTTTGAAATTCTCATCTACTTCTATACCACATAGTAGGAACAGGGAAAAAAAAAACTAAAAAAAGAAATTGAGGGTACTGGTAATATCCCAGTTCCTTGCACTCACATAACATTGTTTAATCAGAAAAGATCCAGCAAATGTCACAGTCACAGCTTAATTCCTTTTCTAAAGCTGTAAACCTAAACTCCTACCTTTTTTCTTTCCTTTTAAACAGAGACTAGAGGTTTGGGTTTTTTTGTTTGTTTGCATTTCAATTTTTCAACTGAAAACAGAAACACTTAAATAGGCTAAGATTTACTCACTCTGGTTATTTTTTCTGCTAGTCTGAACTTCTACAGGAATAGACCGCAAAGCTGTCATAATCCTCTGAGCGATATCAGATAAAGGCACTTTAGAAATCTCACATCCTATGTATGATGTGTACTGTTCCATTTTTAAGATTAAACCTAAACACAGAACACACGCAAATTATGCATTATATCAGGGCCACAGAACAATTTGCTCTTACATTCTGTTCAAATTAAAGACAAAACATAGTGAACATGTTCAGCCCTTCACTCTCAATAGAAAACGACATCTCCTCCCTGACATGCCCATCAGTTATGTATTGTAAATAAAAATAAGCAAGTTGTAATCATTTACAAAAACTAACTTCTTTGAAATAGTGTTTTAATATACTGATAAAAAAATTAAGCAGTCCTATTAAGTACAACTAAGTTCTAATAAAAAACCTGACAAATAAAACAAGAATTATCATTTATGTCTGAAATATTCCCCCAACTTCTTTGAACTGGTCTATATCTAGCGTATGCATACATGTACGGTTATTAGTGCTCAAATTTTATCAAGAAAAAACCACCACTTTCAAGTAAGTGCCAAAATAGAGCCAACAGAAGATGAAAGAAACAAGTATTATTACCATGATATATAAACATTAGTGATGTCTTGTTTCAGAAAACACTTATGATAAAAAGACCTCTATTTCTTAAACTTTGTATAACCGATGTACTCAAGTACTATTAAATATTAGTAACTAAAATAGTTACTACAGTTTATTTGTCAATTTAAGAAACAGGCCAGCAACATCTAAAGTCTCTACAAGCTTTGACCACAGCCATTGCTGTTCTAAATTTTGTCTTTTTGACAAGCAGTTGCTTTTCCAGTTGACCTGTAGCCGTATTCTATAACGCATACAAAATACTTGGAGAGTCCCTAGATACCACACATATGGGAGAATTAGAAACAACAGCACCCATACTGATGACTGGTTGTCTTTACAGTTAGACCAGAACAATGCATAAAACTTACCACAAATACAAGATAAATAGCCAACATTTTCAAAATACTTAAAGGATTCAAGCCATACAAGTCAATTGCTCCACCAAAAACCACTGTTAAGGAAATTATTCCTATACAAGTTAATAACTGGAGTCTTGTTACTCTGGTCTTCTCCCACTAAATCAATGCATGAGTACTTTCAAGTCCAGTTTAACCATCAAGTAAACAGTATTTCCCCTGCTTAGATGGAAATATTTTTCTTAGCTCAAAACAATCAGCAGATTGCAAGTTTGAACACTTAGAAGTATAAACATTTGTATCCAGATTCAAAAAGGAACATCCATCAGGCTGCATTAGTATTGCCTATATCTATCTAGCTCAAATTTTATAGTAAGCGTGCGAGAGGGAGAGAGATATAGAATGGCTTTCTTCTCCCTGACATTCCAGGAGTCAGAAGAACAACCTTTCCCCATGCACAACTTCTCCTAACTTATAGTTAAGGGCAACCCTTCTTTCCTACACAGGGTAAAAACGCTCCCTGACTTCTCAGGGTGGGAAGTAGCAGTCTTAAACCCTCAGGGGCATACCAAAATGAGAACCTAGCAGACTATATATAAACAAGACACTATGCATGAGAATAGGCCTAAAACCAACACAGAGATTCACCATAAATATTGACAACACTGAACTGAATTTAGAGTGCTTGGCATTTAATAATAAACACAATTTTTGGAGTTAGGCAGCATGAAATCCAGATATAAAGACATTCAACCAGTAAGTTAAAAAAATAAAATTAAACATTTAAAAATAAGTTATACTCACATAAAAGTTAAAAGTCTGCTATCAAAATAGTTTTAAGACTACTGTTACTGAATTTAAAGCTAATTTACTAACCTTCATCAATATGTACAGTGCTTGAAAGCAAGCACAGCTGATCCCATCAAAATATAAAAGACTGGAACTTATCATACTATAAAAGACTATTTCGTTCTGTTGGTATATTAGGAAGCTATATAAAAATTAGATAACCAGTCCAACAATGCACATGAAAGCACAAGTATGAAAGCATCAGGACTCCGAATTGAAATGCCTATCATTATAAGTTATAGAGCAAACTCAGAAGTCCAAAAGGTAAATTTAAAATTCGTTTTTCTTTGAAAAGCCCAATATGAATATGGACTCATTTCAATGGAGAAGATAAGGCCATAAGTTAAATCAATGGTCTTAAAACTGACTAATCGTCTTGGTACTTGAAACAGATTCTGGTACATATTCAAACACATTTCTAACAAAACCAAATCATGTCAGGAGACCTGTAAGGGAAACTATCACAGAATATCTGCCTTGGAGAACCCTCCTCTTCAGAAGGTGCACATTCATGCTCCAAAATCTGGGATGCCTTCTCCACATTTATTTTTCAGTTCACATATCAAAGGTTATTAGCATGCAAGAAATCTTATTTCAAGGGTATGAACTGTTCCCTTTTGTGCTACGCTGTGCGCAGTGGAAATCAACATACAGGCTAGCAGAAGGGCAACCCAAATGCAATTCATTCAAATAACCAAGGTATTTCTTCATATCAAAATTCGACAAAACTGAGATTTGAACTCAGCAGGCAGATGCCAGAAGCCATAAAGCAGCATACAATCCAAACCTGGTAACTGTGGCAATTAAACATACATTGCAATGACAGGTAACTGTTAGCCTTGATAAGCCAATGCTTATCATTCCATAAACTTGTAGACAGTTTACATTCACATGTTTTCCCTTCTTAAGAGTACACTGAGGTTTAAACTTTAAGAACTCCACTGGTGGTGAAATTCTAATCTTCCAGACCACTGGTTTTAGCCTCAGACTGCTGCTCAAGCTTCTCCACCATCTCTTTCAAGTGGTCTTCATCTTTGAAAAAATACACATATAAACTTCTTTCCATCTGAAGCAGCTTATTGGACTCTAAAAAGTTTCTCTTTGACTTTAAATCAGCAATCAGATCCATAAGGAGTTGATTTAGTTTATTTAGATCAACTTCCAGTTGATGAAACTGCTCAGTAAGTTCCTAACAAAAAAAAACCAAGACAAAATTATTACTTTTGTATTGTTAATACACTAGGTAAACTAGAAATATAAAAGTTTTTTGCCTTTGGAAGGCACTTCCGTTTGTAAGTGAAAAGTCATCACAAAATACAGAAACACAGCTGATATGGGACTCACATATATGTAACTTTTGAGCTCCTTATAAGAGTACTTGCACCAGGTTATGAAAATGTAATCTCATTTACTTGTTTCCTACACCAGATGAGTTAAGACTATAAGAATTTGGTCCTCACCTAGATACAGCTGAATGACATTTTCAATCAATTACAAGTCCTCGTAGCTAGCCAAATCTTAAAAGGGAACAGAAAAAAACATAACAAAAAAGCCAATTTAACTTTAAAATTAAATCATTAGTTACCAGCTACAATTTTCCCAGCTGTCATTATTACAGTTCAGTGTAAGCAGGCTGGTCATCTACTTGCACATTATTTTCTTATTAAAGGAATTACTTTTCTTGATAAACAGTAGCAACAGGAAGAGATGTCACTGTTTTAACATGTAACTCAAATCTATAGAAAGATTGATTTAATAATGTGTAATCCCTAAATATGTATTGTTCCAAGTAGACAGTTTAATTTTTTTTAATAAAAAAACTGTTCTATATGTTGAAAATTCACTTGACAGATGGAAGTGTTGAATATATTTTCATGTATTTAACAAAAGTAGTGTTATGTAACAGAAGACTTCCCTCAGTCCACTTTTAAGATAACTACAATTATTTAAAAACTATAACGAGTTGTATTTAACAACCTCTATGCCCATTTAAGAGAGGCTTTAAACCCAACACCTAGGAGCTCTGTAGCAGGACTGTCCCACTACAGCTGTCCTTCAAAATTCTGATATTCTTGTTTTGTCCAAGTGAGCCACCCGTGGCCAGGCTTTTTAAGGGGCCAAACTATACCGTTCAAGTATTACAGACAACAGGAGAAAAAAGCTCATCTGAAATAAGGAGAAATCTAAATGAGTTTTTCCAGTGACACCATATCCAGATGACACATTTCCCACACCATAAACTTACTAGTAATACAGGACTGTATATGCCTTTGAAAGAAATTAAGTTAGATGCAACGATTTGCTCAGAAACAAAAAAATGACCTGCCAACATTTATAAAATTTATCATTTGCTAAGAACAATGTAAAAAAACCCATCATCATCACACTAATAAATGCGTTGCTGACACATGGGAGCCAGTTTGTGTGTCTACAGCCTTCACACTAAGTTTTTCTCAATAAAAGAACATGACACACATTAATGTCATAATTTCAATAACTAGGAAGGGCTTACCCGACTGCTAAGTTGTATCTGATTTCCTCCATGATACAAAGCATCGTGAAGGGTATCTACATTGCTTTTTAACTTGGACAAAAGCAGAGACTGTTCTTGAGCAGATGCTTCTAGCTGATCTTGCACTGTAGCACAGTCCTGCTTTAACTTCCGAGCCATCTGCTCTAGGCTTTCGTATGTTTTAAACAACTGTGGTTTTTTATTTTCTCCTTCCAGAAGCTGATATAGCCTGTAACAAATGAAGGTAGACACACAAGCATTTTTAAGTTTCCTAAGCACTCCTGTCATTATTAGTCAAGAGAAGACATTCATGTTGAGAAGTCAGAGGACTACTAAAGGACAGTACTGCTCAGGGTACTCTTACTACATTGCTGTATCTCATGATTTCATGATTCTATCTATGTATAGCTAGTACGTGTTTAACAGGACTCCAAAACGTTTCATTATTAGATCAACAGCCATGAAACACCAAAGTAAGTACACTACAAATGCAAACAGAAGCTGACAATGTGCTTTTGTCAACTATTTCCCGACACTTCAAGGACTGCAAAGTAAGATACAACTTTAAGGGGTGAAAAACAGCAGACTTCAATGGCCAATGAGAACTAAAAGCAATCTTTATAACATTTTCAAGCTTACTAGAGTATTTCCCATTTTCTATCTATGAAGAGACTGTTAAGAAATTCTCCAATTAGTTATGAGTCAGGCAAAAGATAGCAATAGCAGCTTTACCAAACTGTACCCTTAGACTGCATCAGGAATAGTCTGATACAATTACACATAACTTTGCTCAGTTGCTACTACCACCTCTGCATATTAAAATCTTCAGGACTTGAGCCCAATATAGAATTAGTGGCTTTACAAAGAGCAGGAGCTCTATTTCAAAAGTAACTGAGTTTCTTTCAAGTTCTTTCCGCTTATAAACCCTAAAGGGTCTATAACTTTCAAC